CATCCATCCATCCATCCATCCATCCATCCATCCATCCATCCATCCATCCATCCATCCATCCATCCATCCATTCATCATCCATCCGTCCGTCCATCTGTCTGTCCATCCATCCATCCATCCATCCATCCATCCATCCATCCATCCATCCATCCATTCATCATCCATCCGTCCGTCCATCTGTCTGTCCATTCATCATCCATCCGTCCGTCCATCTGTCTGTCCATTCATCCATCCATCCATCCATCCACCCATCCATCCATTCATCATCCATCCGTCCGTCCATCTGTCTGTCCATTCATCCATCCATCAATCCATCCATCATCCATCCATCAATCCATCCATCATCCATCCATCCATCCGTCCGTCTGTCCATCCATCCGTCCGTTTGTCCATCCGTCTGTCCATCCATCTATCCATCCATCCATCATCCATCCATCCGTCCGTTTGTCCATCCGTCTGTCCGTCCATCCGTCCATCTATCCATCCATGTTATCCTGTTTATTCCATACAGGGCTTATCTATGGCTGTCTATGGGTGAAAGGTGGGGTCCACCCCAGACTGGTCACCAGTCTGACGCAGGGCAGCACAGACTGGCGACCAGTCCTGTCTGCATTGTCCATCACTAAGATGTCCCAATGACATGAAACTGTAAATGTTTAAATAAGACAAAACACTCAGAATTTCAGCTCCTAATGTAGAAAACATAATATTGGTGCTCAGCGTTTTTCAGTTTGTTCTGGTTTCCATGACACCTCAGCTCACCTCTTCCTTTATAAACTGTAAACACTGTATTTGGTAGTAAACATAGTATTAAAATGAGTTTCTTAGCAACATAAAAAGTATCTGTTTTTTCCAGACAGGTAAACACACCCAGAGAGCAGGTTTATGACCTGACCAATCAGAAATATGTGCTCGCTCCACTCTGCTGTGTAGAAAGCGATCCAGCTGCATTCCTCCCAGTGAATGAAAAAAGCTGCAGAGAGACGCCCTGGATGCCTTACCCGTCTGTGCTGTAGGTGCAACACTGGGAGCCATACGCTGTGAGGGGCAGCTTTATGAACGGATCAGCTCACGTTTACCCTCTGGATGTTCTACTGTTTATTGGACACAGTGGGTGTCAGAGCTTTGAAGCATTCAGGGAACCTGGTCAGTGTGGAACAAGATATCATAGATGGCAAAAGTACTCAT